AGGTGTTCGTCTTCGGCCCTAGCCTCAGAATACTCCGCAGCGTTTGGCACATCCATGAAGCCATGCCCCTGTTCCCTGCAGGGAGCGATAACTCTACCCCAAATCAACGACCGAGCACCGGGCAGCTGCGCGTAGATTGGCGCGATTTAATCAAAGGCAGTTTGTCACCCTTTTGTTTGGTTACTAGTGGTTGCCCAATGAGGATTGTTTCGGCAACCCTCGATTTTGCAGAGATGATTGCAGACGCAGGCGAGCCAAATTCAAAATCCGTGTATTTGAAGATCCCTTGCGAACCATCAACATCCCTCGCCCCTAAATTCGTCACCAACGGGTTTGGTTTGTAGACTTCTTGAGTGTCCCAAACTCATCGCTTTCTCTCCCGCGCCAATGTGTCTCTGGGCCTCTCTGAGGCTTGAGCAGCCCACCTGACCGGGGCGTGTGTTCGAACGTTTTCCTGATGCCCCGGATCGGATGCCCCGAAAAGCTCAAAGAGCCACGTTTTGTTCAAACGACTTGGAAGAAGTCACGCCCGCACGTGAGCCCTGGGCGAACAGCAGGGCTACTCGTAGTCAAGACTTTTTGGGAGACCCTGCTAATTTTCCTAAGAAAGCAAGTTTCTTGTATTGACTACCCTTTTTCCGGTCGGACTGGTTATTCTAGACTACTTTGTTGCATTTGATCCCCTTATCGGAGACCCGATGCCATTGATCTATTGCAAGCTGGAACAGGCAGCTAACCTTGCCTATTTTACTCGGTGCAATTCTATCTGGGAGACCGCTCACTGGATGCGGCGCACACACACACGCGCGCAATGATTTGAATGTCTGATTGTGAGCACAAGTGATTTTCTAAAGCCCAAAGCAGTGTTGGCCGTGCCCATGTCATGCCCCAAACTGTGCAACTTGACGAAGCAGAACTTGTGGCAGTCATGGATTCCAGGATTTGCGCGTGGTCGGCTCTGACTCATTTGTCGATTTTGTTGACCCATTTGTTTGTTTTGTTGGTGGGAGCAGTTGCTTGTTTTACAGGGCAAACTGCGCGAATGCCGACAGTTGTGAGACTAGGCCCACGGAATCCACTGAGTCGGATTACGTGTAACATTCACGCATAGATACAACCATACATACTCACATATACACACACACGTGTCACCAGGCGTTCTTTGCATGAGCCGCTATTCGTGATGAAATGGTTGAACACATGTGTCGAGCGACAGCGGGCCCTGAAAGAATCCCGTACACGAACTTTGGACAAGTTGAAGGGGGCTTGTTAACATGCACACGGCCATCACACAAATTATTTCAGTACAGCATTGTACTGGCAGCTGGATGCTGTTCGTTATCGTCTGGCAGAGTGTCAACATCGCACTGCCAGACGGACGCAGACACGATTTGCCAGGTTGCCTCTCAAAACAACAGCGGGAGATTGGATGCCCCAATTCGCGGACTTGAGGGCTTGACGGCCGAATGACATGGCCACTCCCCGGTTTCCATATCGGTCCCATTGTCATACACGTCGAAGCGGAGTGGTGTTCACTCCCTTCCGGCGTCCAGAAATGGGCTTCTGTTCCAGAGGCAGCACGTTGCCGTAAATTCAGACTTGAAACGAAGAGGCTTGGTTTCAGGTTGTGAATTTCAACGGAGTTCCCATCCATCCTTGGCCCGTGACATCAGCAAATCACAAAAGAAAAGGGTTGAACTCCGCTCGTTTTACATTGAACTACTGTAACTACTGGATGTCCTCATTTCTTAATTTGTCCTTTCTCGAGTCCATTTTGTGCGACACTTGAGTGGGTGGCTTCTTGCTTTGACGTGGATAACCTAAGGCTGAAAGTTATCAGCCCAAGCCACAGAAAGATAATTTGTTTTGCCCGCTTCAGAGCTCTCAGACGGATTATTTGCCACCTCATAGTCGGTTTTTTAGAAATGCCGGTTGTTTCCAATCAGGCGGCCAAATGCCGCGGAGTTGTTGTTTGTCCTCGGCGATTTTCGCGAGGTTGGCGTGGAGTTGTTGCCTCTGGCCGCCTTGTGACGTGCACAATCTTTGCTTGGGATCCTGTGGCGTGCTTCGGCACCCGTGAGAAGTTTGAGCAAATCGCATTGGCCCACTGCCCCTTCAAGCATGTTGCCTTCCAATAAACAGCCTGCACACATTCAAGGGCGAGGATCCCCGCAAAGGACCAAATCCTGAGACTTTGAGCAACAATCAACTTAAGCCCCCTGCCTTGCGAAGTATATTTGGTATCAGAACAGCAACACTTGTTGTGCGGCACCCGGGAAACGCAAAAGCCCAAGTGTCCAGGGTTTGAGCGAAGCCCACGGGTTTGTCATAGGCTCGGTAGCCTTGTTGGAGTTGGTTTAAAGGGACACCAAAGGGAAGCCACGGAAATTTTCGGGGGTTCCCTCCATCACACCCTCCTTGTGCACACTTGGACTGGCAAGCTTCGCTCTTTGAGCTGGAGAGGAAGCGTGTTTCGCTTACGTGTATTGAAAAGCTGCGATTTTCGAGCTGGAGATGTCAAAAGGGTGGTTCCGACACGACACCGGACTAGAACAACTGAAAAGTGTAGTTCTGAGTTTCTAAGCAAGAACCAACAACACCCCCCCATGTCCGCAAAACAAGTCCGCGACTCGACGCTGGAGAAGTCGAAAGGTAGACAAGTATACACCCATTGCACTTTTCGACTTTCCGACTTGTTTGCTGTTAGTTGAATCACATCCCAAGCTGAGTCTTCTGTGTGTGTTGCAGCCAAGGCACGTTGGCACTTTTTTTTGACATTTCAACTTTTTACAATTTCTATCACATTCTAAGCAGTTTAGGATTGGTTTTGGAGCGTTGCCCCGAACCCCCAAAACTGGCCCGCAGCTCACACAACCGCATTTCGAAAGCAACCTAAAGTCACCGCTTAGCCAGCAGCACACCCAACACAAATGAGCTCCAAGCCAACCCCAAATCCACCCAAGTCAACCCTAAACCCGCCCGACAGCAGCCTAGATGTCAGCCCTTCGCTTCGCCTAAATCAACCCCAACACCCCCACGAAGATCTAAACTTATTACTAGACAGGCTCAGACAGGAGAGGCTGCAGCGGAACAAACAAAAACTCGAACAAAAACTCAGAAGCAACTCAGCCAACAAACTCAATTGAAAACACAGACTCAAAAAGAACAAAGAAAACGCAGAAACACCCACGGGACGACTCAAACAAAACACAGAATAAACAGCCTTCAACTCAGGAAAAACTCAGAAAACAACTCAGCCTTGAACTCGATTCCCCCAGTTGAGTTTGAGGCTGAGTCGGGAGCTGAGCTTTTTTGTTTTTTCCTTTTTTTCCCTGAGTTGGTTGTGTACTTTTGTTTTCTTCTTATTTTTTCAAAAAAGAACGTGTTGCTTTCTCCTGTTTTTTCCTGAGGGGGTTGGTTGGGGAGGAAATCAGCAGTTTTCCTCAAGAAAACACAAACAAACTCAGAAGCGACTCAGACAAAAACTCAGACAAACTCAGCTCCCGACTCAGCCTCAAACTCAAGTGAAGGGATCGACTTCAAGGCTGAGTTGTTTTCTGAGTCTTCCCAAGCTGGGAGTTTTCCAGATTGCGTTGAGTTTGTTTTGCGCCTTTTTTGTGTGTTTTTTGCAAATTCCTGGATTCGCGGCCTGTGTTGGCGAGATCAGGTCATAAGCCTAAACCCCCCCCCCTAGCTCAAACCAGCCCCAGCAACTCCCAACTGCCTCCCAATCAGAGCCAATAGGCAGCCCCCTGCTTTCTATGGACGTTTCGACTTCAGAGTTTTCGTTTTTTTTGGGACATGGGACGCCGGCCAAACCGCACAATCCCTTGCCCAGCAACACGCATTACTGTGTGCTTTGTGTCTGGCAATTTTTGGATGGCAACATGGGGGCTGTGGACAACGATTTCCTTGCGGGGCCTTCTGAATCTGGCATAGCCTTTGAGCATGCCGTATGTCTGAGGGACTTCGCCCAAGGATCCGAAGTAGCTTTCCAAATGGCGCGACACCTTGGCCACGCCCATGTTTGTGGCTTTGTGGTGCCATTCTATTTTTTAAGATATGAAGCTCCGCTTCATGCTTTGCAGTTTGCAGAGCTGATCCGCATTCCACAACCGAACCAGCCGACCGGAAAATCAAGTTGTGAGTTCCAGTTGCACTTTCCAAGCGGTTGGGGTTCCAGCTCTAGGTTCCACCTTCTTACCCTGGGTATGTCTCAAAATTAGGGAACCCTCAAGCAACAGGGGGCTCCCCCCAAAAAGACCCACCCAGCTATCAAGGTTTTCTGCTGAGGCTGGGCTGCTCAACGCCTTTTGATAGGCATGATGCTTCCTTTCACTGCCCAGCATATCCAGACTCCAACACGTTTTATCAAGACGCAACATTTGGCGCTGGCAAAAGAATGGCTCGGCGCGTCTCGAGTATCTGGGACCTTGCCGGCTTGTGAAGCAAAAGGAAATCAATCGGAAGGAGATTTGACTATGCAGATTTGGCAATCCATCCAGGGTCCAAGGAATATTTCCCGCAAGGAATGGGCAGCTGTCATTCGCGGCCTTTTCTGGGACTTGCCTTTGAGAAAGCAAGTTCCTGGCAGCCACTTGCAGTCAGGTTGCAGGAGACAAGTGTTTTGGATGTCTCTGAATGATCCCATATCCTAATTTGTTGCGTTGTTTTCTTCTTTGTTTCTGGTGGTATGCGTTATGACGAATTGTTGAATGATCCTCTGACCCTAGAAGCATGTTACTAGACCAGAATCATTCCGCAGGAGTGGGCACCAACAATGAGCAGCTTTGGTGATGATCGAAATTCAGGAATCCCATCGCCACGCTGGCACACTTTCCAGAAGCTCAGGTATCCCTTGGTGGTTTGCATTGGCGGTTTTTGGGATGTTGAACCCCGGGTGAACGGCAAAGCCCATCAAACCAAAGCAAACCAAGGGGGAAGCTGAGCCCGAAACCGGGCACAGAACCCGAAGGCTTCCATCGGTTTTCGTTGCCCAGGTCTTTGTGGATGGGGAGCTGGTGAAGGATGAGACGATCCAGCAAAGTAAGGCGGGGTTCGGCCCAATGGTTTGTTCATGCTCTATGTTATGGTCTCAAAATATGGGGCACCACAGGGAACCACTGCAAGGAAAAAAGCAAACAATCAAACACAAACAAACGTTTGGGTTTCTTTTGGCTGCCTTCTAAAACCATCCCAACAAGGGTGCCCTCAACAAAAATACACACCCACATGGTTCAATTAACATGGGCCAGATGTTCTAAAAGCTGACGAGCTCTCCGTGCCCCGAAACCTCAAACCCAGCCCTTCCGATGCAACGCCTCATCGCCGGATGAGATGGAGTTGACCGAAACCTGCAGCTAGTCACATGGGCAGGTGCCTTTCTGTTCAATTACTTTTTGGGAGTTGCCGGTTTGCAGATAGCTGGTAGCTGTGGGCAGCTTCGGTTCAGTTCAAGTTGCAACACCTGTGGATCGTGTGAGCCCAGAGGCTGCCCCCTTTTTTTTCTCTTGTTTTTTCTTCTTTTTTCGAAAGGTTTCACTTGGCTCGGCGTGTCATTTCGATCTTGGTGGGGTTGCTGCGTGAAAATATTAATTTAGGTGTCGGCATTCGTATACTTGAGTGATGGACAACACCCAAATGCATCGCCCTGCATTGTTGTAGTCAGCACGTTCATCACGTTGATCTAGTGATCGAGTTGCTCGATGAGTTCCACGATAACACACCTCTTAAAGGTGCCGTTGTGCATAGCATATACTTGCCTTGACTGCTGATTGGGCCATACTAATTCACCGAGCTCACATGGAGCCGCGTTGTTTTTTTTGTGGCAGGGAGTTCAATAGAATGTACACAACAAACATATTCGATATGAGCTTTTAGTTTGTTTCGTATTTGCCTTTGGCTTTGGGTCAATGTCAGATCCAGTGCATTTGCTATTAGCTGAAGCCGGGAGGCCTCTTCACATGGAACCCGGTTTTTTTCGGTAGTCCTCGGTTGGATTCCCCATAGAACATGATGGTTGGTTTCCGTGTGAAAAAGCGGAGTTTGGTTTTTGGTTTCCATGTCTATTTGAGTAATTCGTCCTGGAACTGTTTCTGCGGCCTGGAGAGCGCAGGCCCTCTTTCCTACGCTGGTCTTCCAGAATCTCACGCTGCTTGACGGGAGTGAGAGCAAGCGCAGGTTTCTGAAGCTGGGGGATACCATCGAATGGATCAAGAATCTGCATCCACATTATGTCATACACCCGAGCAGATGTTGTCAGACACCCTCAAAGGACATCAAAGGGCACCGGCCCCTTCCAATATCAAAGCATAGGATTGTTTTACCTTGGAGCCGTTGCACATCAAGTCATTGCAGTTGCAAGGACTTGCCAAAACGTACAGCATACGGTCAACTCTCAAAGTCAAATGGAGCACACCCAAACCCGAACGATTCCCAGGGTGTGTGGTTGGTTTTCTTGCAATGCTTGGGGCATCCATCGTATCAACGATGCCCAAGTCTCAAGGCAGTTTTGGAGGGCCGCGGGGGGAGATGCGTCAGATATGTTTGCTTGCATGCTGCACCGCTATGAAGAGAAGCCTCGAGGATCCTCCAGTTGTTATTGAGCAGACTTCAAAGGTCCCAGGCGTTAGACTGGTCTATGCAGTGGATGGCGTGATGACTCCTGAGCGAACATGTTATCCATGACTCAGAATGAGTTTGAATGCCTGCAGGGCTTGCTGTTCTCGTTGTGCACCATTGTTTGTGTTATTGTAATTCAATCTGCTTAAAACAGGTGGACGCACTGGTAGTTCTTCAGCTAGAACGGCAAACCTGTTAAACACATGGGCGCTTCCAAGAATAGCCGCCCACTTTGAGCGGGAGGTGTCCATTTTTGGTATTTCCTTCAAGACCAAAGGGCCAAAGGGGGGTGCACCCTATTTCTGAGAACCACGGTCGTATGTCAACCAACCCCTGTTGCCCCACTCTAAAGCATTGTTCTGCGGCCAACCATTCAAGTGCCCTCGGGCGATTTTCCCCTATCAAGTTGTCGTACACCTCTGGCTAGTGTCCCTGTCCCCACAGGTTCCACAATCTACTCCCACTAAATAATCTGTTTCACACTTCCTGAGATCCTGGACTTCCGCCACTCGGGCTTGGACCATTTAGTGGCATGGTAACATAAGTTTGGTGGCTTTTGGTGGCCCAACTCAGGAAGTGAGGGACTTTTGCACCCAATTCTCTTCAGGGAAAGGCGTACGAGTGCCCGGAGCGATGCTGGTCATGAGGCTGGCCGTAAGGCTTCTGCCCGCCTCTTTGGCGGCTCCGAGCCCGCGCAGGGCCCAGCAAGGGCCGGTTTTGGCCAATGGAAACGGCATTGAGCCAGGTTTTGGTGAAGTCAGAGATCCTTCGAAGCCAGCTTGTGCACTGCATTCGTGTTTTTGTAGCTATTTGCATCGAGAATCCGGACTGTAGGAGAACAAATGATGCCAACACTGAGCATTGCTTCACGCGTGAACTGGAGCCAGGTTCAGTTGAAAACCAAGCAAATGTGTGCTTCCTCTCCTGCGCGCTCCGGTGGCCGCAAAACAACGGCCTGTGCCCCTTAAGACAGGTGCATCAACCACCTTGCGACAAGCTGTCAAAGTGCTTGATCTCACGTCGGTTGGGTGGATACAAGCTTGACTTGAATTGAGTTTGCCACCACATCAATATTCCAAACTTGTATTTGGTAAAATAAATGCCATTGATGGTTGGGCCCCCATTTCTGCCTTCATCAACCATCAGTTTGTTGCTAGCACATAGCAGTTGCTTCAACGTTTTCTAGCTCATGCCATTCAGGAGCTATCCCACTGGTCAGCAAAGAGCCAGAGTCGGTCTGAGCTACTTCAGAATGGTTGGATCTTGGGTTGCCTTTCAAACCATATCATCTTACGGTTTTCATTTGACTCAGGTAAGACAGAGACATGGCCTGAGACATGTCTGAGGTGCATGATGTTCGGAAACATCGGGGAGGAACACCGGGTGGCGAGCA